CCCACGGGCCGCCAGTTGAACAGCCCTGCTTCAAACTAACCTGTTGTTCCTTTTAATAAAGCCACAAGTGACATCCCGTTCCCTGAACAACTGACCATTAATATAAAGTTTGTCTACAGCCACCGTAGCTCTGACGCCCTCAGACATGTATTTCTTCCTGATAGGAAACAAAACTCGCCTCCGATCGAGGATCTCTTTAGGAAATTGATCGTTCACACTGCTTAGAAGTTTTGATTATCCTGTTATATTGAGAATTTACCAAAGCAGAGTAAATTAGCCATTTATATTTTTATTAAGGTTATTAAAGTTCAAACAGTAACTTGAAACAAAGGTCCACCCTTCTGTTGTGATTGCCTCGACCATCAATATTGTAATGCCCTCTAAGTCAAAGAAATTTATTCTGACATTTGGCTTAGGGCAGTCTGGAAGAAGCTTTTGAAGGAGAAAGACCAAACAATTGGAAACTTATGCCAGAAGATCTTTTCCACCAGAAGGAGAAAATGCAGCCCTCCGGGAGCTCATCAACTGACCCATCGGGAGCCAGATAACGAGCACTCTAGATTTCAGCTGATGTCCAGTGTCAAAGGAAATCCCACCTTTGACGCTTTAACTCATCTCAACAGAGTCCTGGTAACCCGCGACAGTTGAATTACACTCTCCAATCGGTAGGAAAAACTTGCTCCTTCTCTCTGCTGGTGTCTGATGCCCAAGATAAGAAGTTATCCAGTCTAAAAAAAATTCATCATTATTAATTAGAATTAAGTTTACAGATTACATCTGCCTACTTCATTTAGTTAACTTATAGATGATATTTTACTCTGCTTTTAAACCTCATAATTTACCATATTAAAGTTAGAAAATAAGTATCTAACCTCATCTTGTGTTGTCAAATTAAAGCCATCATTCATTTCTTCAGCTGTACTCATGATTTGATTTTGACCACTTATATTCACCAAAATCGATGATAAACCTCACAAAATTGTACTTTGACTGGAAAAAAGCACAATCCTGGATAAATTTCAATCTGGTTTTAGATCCCGGCATAGCACAGAATCTGCATTATTGAAAGTTCATAACGACATAGCTCAGTCAGTTGACTCTGGGCGCCCAGTAGCTCTGGTGCTCCTCGACCTTACAGCAGCCTTTGACACTGTGGACCACTCTGTCCTTCTGTCTCGCCTCCATGATTTTGTTGGGATTAGTGGTACTGCTCTGAAGTGGTTCAAGTCCTATTTATCTGATAGAACCTTTTCTTTCTTGCTCAATGGCTTCTCTTCCTTTACAGCCCCTCATCGGTGTGGGGTGCCCCAGGGTTCCATTTTGGGTCCTTTGCTCTTTTCATTATACATGTTGCCACTTGGATCTATTATAAGACAACACAATGTCAACTTTCATTTTTATGCAAATGATTTGCAGATCTATTTACCATTAAGGCCAGGATCCAATAACCCAATGCTTTCTCTCTTTGACTGCATCTCTGCAATCAAACATTGGCTAAACAAGAACTTCCTGTTTTTAAATGACAGTAAAACAGAATGGATTTTATTTGGTGACAAAGATGCAACTGGCCTGGGAAATTTGGACATTAACTTCAGTGACTGTGTGAAAAACCTTGGGGTGACCTTTGATAAGGCTTTACACTTTGACAAACATATTGCTTCTGTTGTCCGGTCGGGATTCTTGTATTTACGCCTTTTAAAAAAGGTCAAACCCTTTTTAAATTGTCAAGACCTGGAGAAAGCTGTTCATGCTTTTATCAGTTCTAGGCTCGATTATTGTAACGCTCTGTATGTCCGTGTACCACAGTCATCACTGAGTCGCCTCCAGCTTGTACAAAATGCAGCAGCGCGCCTTTTAACCAACACTCCTGGATGGGACCACATCACACCTGTTTTATTCTCACTACATTGGCTCCCTGTCCGTTTTAGAATAGGTTTTAAACTTTTATCATTTGTTTTTAAAGCTCTGAATGGCCTTGCTCCTCCTTATATAACTGAGATGCTAAGTTTCTCTGCCCGCTCCAGATCTTTGAGGTCAGACAGCCAGCTCCTGCTCTCTGTTCCAAGGACTAAATATAAACGCTGGGGTGACCGTGCCTTTTCTGCAGCTGCACCTCGACTCTGGAATAAGCACCCACTTGATCTGCGTCAGATTACTGAACTTGGCCCTTTTAAATCGAAGCTTAAGACTTTTTTATTCCAACAAGCTTTTAGTACATAAATATGTGGTGGCATTTCTGGTTTTATTTGTGCTATTATGTTGTGTTTTCTTGCTTTTAACCTATTGTCATTTTAAGTACTGTTTTTTGTTAAGCACTTTGGTCACCATCACCATGGTTGTGTAAAGTGCTATAGAAATAATTAAATAAATAAATAAAATAAATAAAGCGTTTTTATTATATTTGACATTTGAATTTAATACAAAAAGAACTCACTAAAAATAAAACTTGAGTTTGATTTAATAATTTCTTGCTTCAGAACCGGAAAGCAAGTGGTACCCCTTCAGAATAAAATTACTAATAAAAATTCAACGATCTGAGGACCCTTTCCTCTATATGTACATTAAACTCAATACAGTTATTGCATTTTTCAATGGCCTGGGAATATTTCCCATTAAATTCTTGGTATGGGGTAGACAGGAAGTTAGTCTTTCACCTCACTTTTAATTGGAAAGATTATTCCCTTGTCTTCATGCGGTTCATGGATGAAGAAAATGTAGCTCCGGTTCAACAAGCTTAAAAAGCATGTTCAGGTTCAAAGCACTCATTTAAGTCAAGTCAAATTTATTTGTAAAGCACATAAAAAAACAGGTTGTTACCAAAGTGCTGAACAAAAAAAGAAAAAGATTAAAAGAAAAAAATAATTAATTTAAAAGCATCAGGAGAAAATAAACAGAACATGGAACAATAAAATATAAAAACAACTCACACTGGGTCAAAATATCTGTGAAAACAGTTTTTTTTAAAAGATATTTAAAAACAGGATTGAAGGGGCCAATCTAATGTTGGGGGGGGGCAGTACGTTCCAAAGTTTAGAGCCCACAACTGAAAAAGCCCTATCTCCTCTGAGCTTCATCCTGGTTTTTGGTACAACCAAAAGCAGCTGGTCAGATGATCTCAGCACCCAAGAAGGAACATAAGGTTGAAGAATATCAGAGAGGTATGAGGGTGCAAGGACATGTAGACACTTACAGGTTAGTAGGAGAATTTTAAAATCCATTCTGACATACATAGGGAGCCAGTGAAGGGAAGACAAAAACAGCTGACAAAACAAAAGCTGAGCTGCAGCATTTTGGACGAACTGGAGACGTGAAATGAAAATCTGACTGACCTCAACATAACGCTCATTACAGTAATCCAGCCGGGTTGTAACAAATGTGTGGACTATTTTTTCAAGGTCAGATCTGGTCAACACTGACTTAAGCTTAGCTATATGCAACATTTTTCAGTCAGGTCATCTGGACAGTTTCTTTTTTTTGTGCTGAAACGTTTCGCCTTCGATCCGGAAGGCTTCATCAGTCAAGGAAACTTAGCTATGTGCCTTAACTGGAAGAAGCTTTTTTGTAGAACAGAGTTGATATGTTTGTTAAACTTAAAGTCAGTCTAAAATCAGCAGACTGCTTAAGATAGGGCTCAAGAGGGCCAAGGTTTTCTGAGAGCGTGTCAGAAGTAGAGCCAGGGCAAAACACAATGACTTCAGTTTTCTGATCATCAAATCTTAACAAATTTGAAGCCATCCATGCCGTGATGTCATCAAGACGTTTTAACAGAGGGTGAATGGAGCAAGAACTGTTGGGTTTTAAGAGCAGATAAATCTGACAATTATCAGCATAACAATGAAACTACAGTATATACAGGTAGGTAACACTAAAATATAATATTTATTCTACAAACTGACAGACTTTCATGACTATCTTATGCTGAGAATGTGGTTTTGAGACCCTGAACATGATGATGCTTGATTGATGTGTATTAGCAAAGGCAAAACAGCAGAAATGCTTTATCTTTGGCCCCCAACAGTCTATTTTTAATGCAACCGATTTTTTCTTTTTTCTTGGCTGCTCCCTTCCTCAGGGAGTTGTTGCTATTTGCCACAGTGAACTAAGTTGCAGGAAGACTTGACAATAGCTTTTACTCTGGATGTCCTTCCTGACACAACCACAGACCACCGAGCTACCACAGCCCTCTGTGTGGAGCAGAGAGCTGCTATCTAGGACACCCGGAGGAGCAGATGGTGGGGGTTAAGGGTCTTGCTCAAGGGCCCACAGTGGGACAAAAGAGGGTGGGGGCAGGTGTGGGTGCTTCACCTTTCCACCCACATTTTGATGTTTTCCAGGACGGGTTGTCGAACCAGCAACCTTTTGATCACAGGCCCACCTTCTCTAACCTCTGCGTCACCACTCCTCCATTGTAATTGCTTAGTTAATTAATGAAAATGTATGCGATTATCTCAAGAAGTAAGAAAAATATGTGAATATGATGACCTGTTTCATTTGCTTTCAAGATCAAGACAAAGAAAACGATTTGAGCAATTTTTCAAGACTAAAATGTCTATAACTTACTTATTTCTTAACCAATCCAGACAAACTTGGCGTGTATCTTTTTTTTTAAACAAACTATCAATTGCACATGAAGAATAAATCAGAGTTTAAATAAATATCTAGAGTAATGTAGAGAATATGGTATTTTCTCTTGGCATTTAGGTTTCTTGACTCACTCAGAAGACAATTATTCTTGAAAATTATGAAAGTGTGGACATGGATCAGAAAATGCAAACATAATTTTAAAGGAAAAGATGAAAGTTTGCTTCACTCAGTAAGGATTTGTTAGGATTTCTAGCTGTCATGTTAAAATGCTTCTTTAAATGTTAGTGAGCGTATCTTTTAGATGAGTCTGGAGCTAATGGGACACAAACAACTTCCTGTGGATTTTCTTTCTCTGTGAAAAGTGATAAACTGAGATTTCAAGGAAAGCCGTAAGAAATATAGAGAGGTTGACTCACGCTGTGAGGGAAATGTTAGCAGCAGACATGGGGCTGACCTCCTTTATCTCCTTGGCCTTCTGGAGAGCAAGCTTCTTATTGATGGCTTCCTCCTGCTCCTCCTCATCCTCAACAGTAAATGTAGGAAGAAAAAAAAACGTATACATGTATAACTCAGCAATTTCTTCTCAAGATGGGACCCTAATGTCTCAGGATGACGGGTTCCATCTGTTGCTTGTTCTGCACCATCAATGCAGAGAAGTCAACCGTTCACTGGATGTTCAGTCTTAACAAAAAGCTGAGTGCACGCCTTCACCACTCACATCCAGGCATTAGGGTGTAATTAGTATCATTTCATCATTAATACTAATTCACATGTCTTGAGAGCTTAACCATTTGTTTAAGAACTTTTTTTTTTTAAATGTTGACCCAGTTTGTATCGAGATGAAAAAAATCTAAAGTAAACAAAATGTTACAATATTATACTTAACAAAAATATAAATGGAACACTTATTTTTGCTCCCATTTTTCATGAACTAAACTCAAAGATCTTGAACTTTTTCTATGAACACAAAATGCCTTTTACTCTCAAATGTTATTCACTAATTTGTGTAGATCTGTTTTAGTGAGCTTCCTCTTTGCTAAAATAATCCATCCACCTCACAGGTGTGGCATATCAATATGCTGATTGGACAGCATGATTATAGCTTATTATTAAAACTGGGTTTCTTTTTCAGAAATAGATCCTGGCTAACTCTGAATGCTAGGAATTAAATTCAATTCAGTTTATTTATATAGACCCAAATCACAACAAAGTTGTCTCAGGGCACTTTACAGAAACATTCACATACATAGAAAAGCCAATTAGTAAAGTTTTCTATCTAAGGATCCAGCAGACTCATTGAATCTTCACTTCGTCACAGTCTCCCATCCTGAGCGCAAACAGTGGTAACAGTGGAAAGGAAAAACTCCCTTTTAAAAGGAAGAAACCTCCAGCAGAACCAGGCTCAGGACAAGCGGCCATCTGCTTTGACCGGCTGGTTTGAGAGGAACAGGAAGTAGAGACAAACGAACACAGAACGGCAGGTCCAGATGTAGGTGCAGGTGTACCGAAAAGACAAAAAACACATGTTAAGGATAGAAAAAAAAAATTACAAATACAAAACAGGTTGAGCAGAGTAAGTAAAGACACTAGCATAGTTTGTCCTCTAGCAGTCTAAGCCTATAGCAGCATAAAGCCTCCAGTATACTCGGGCATGCGGAGGTCTGCGCGTACCGGATAAAACTCGAAGCAGATGCCCGCAGGGCATGTCCGTGCAAAGTTAAATTTTTACGAATACGTACGCGTACTCTGTGTCGCACAATAAACTGCATGGCGACGGACTGTTTTGTATGCGACACCAATGTACTTTGTATTAAATTCCCCTTCTTCATTCCTGATCTGGTTTTATGGCCTTTTCTTTTGTTTTTTTGCCAAGAGGCAAGCAATCTCTTCCTCCTCCTCTGTTGACACCATGACTGAAATTGTGAGAAACAAAGGAATTTGTCACAAACAAATTAAAGTCAGATCCAGTCTGGCTGCGGGAGGGTATGGACATTTCCTGGTGGGCTGGTCTGATGTATGGGCTGCAGGGCCAGCGCTCCCTCATTTGTCTTTTTTTTTTTGCAACCTGTCAATCAGTCCAGTAGGCGTGTCAGCAAATGACCAATTGGCGACCTCAATTTGTCCCGAAGGTACAACTGGACAATGTGTCAGCCTCATGGACAGAAACTGGAAGTTGGTTCCAGAAGAGAGGAGCCTGATAACTGAAAGATCTTCCTCCCATCCTGCTTTTGGAAACCCTATGGACTGCAAGTAAACCTGCAATCTGAAAGCAAAAAGTTCTGTTAGAAAAATATGGAACAATAATATCTGTAATATAAGATGGAGCTAGGTTGTTCAGAGCTTTGTAGGTTAGAAGTAAGATTTTGAATTCAATTCTGGATTTGACAGGGAGCCAATGGAGAGAAGCTAAAACTGGAGAGATATGATCTCTCCTACTAACTCCAGTTAAGACTCTGGCAGCAGCATTTTTGATTAACTGAAGACTTTTAAAAGAAGTATTTGGACACCCAGATAGTAAACCATTGCAATAGTCCAGCATAGATGTGACAAATGCATGAACCAGTTTTTGAGTCATTTTTGGACAAGATGTTTCTAATTTTTGTGATGTTACGCAGGTGGATGGAAGTGGTTTTGTTAACGTTTTTAATGTGGGGGATGAAAGACATGTCCTAATCAAAAATAACACCAAGATTTTTAACATTATAACTGGAGGCCAGATTAATGCCATCCAGAGAAAGTGAAATACTGAAAAATGTATTCCTAAGATGCTCAGGTCCAAAACCCACAACCTATGTCTTATCTGAGTTTAAAAGCAGAAAATTAAGGGTTATCCATGTTTTTATGACTGGATTCATTCAGTTTCATGGACAAATATAAGTGAGTATCATCAGCAAAACAAAGAAAATGTATCCCATGCTGTTCAATAACATTACCTGTTATACCTTGTCATATACAAGGTAAAGAGTATTGGTCCATGCACTGAACCCTGAGGAACTCCATGAATAACTTTGGTGTATGAAGAAGATTCATTATTTATATTTACAATTTGGAATCTATCAGATAAATTATTTAAACCATTTTAGAGCTGTTTCTGTAATCCCAATAACACATTTAAGCCTCTGTAGTAAATTATTGTGATCAACTGTATCAAATGCAGCACTGAGGTCTAACAGGACCAGTATAGACACAAGTCCATTGTCTGAGACCATGAGAATATCATTAGTGACTTTTACTAGTGCTGTTTCTGTGCAATGATGAGCTCTAAACCCTGACTGAAACTCTTCAAACAGATTATTTATTTGTAGATGTTCACGCAACTGACCTGCAACTATTTTCTCTAGAATTTTTGAGATGAAAGTTAGATTAGATATAGGTCTATAGTTGGCCAGAATTTCTGACTCAAGGTCAAACTTATTAAGTAAAGGTTTAAATACAGCAACCTTAAATCGCTGTGGTACGTAACCATTCATTAAAGACAAATTAAGTAGATCCAAGATGTGGACATTAATTTGGGGAAATACCTCTTGAAACAATCTGGTTGGGATGAAATCTAGCAGACACCTTGTAACTGCTACTTTCCTACAAGTCATTGACTACAGTCACATTATTTACATGAATGCTCCTGCAAGTACCCTGCAGATGTTGGATTTTGTCTTTCATGGTGCGTTAAGATTCATAACTGGCTGTAACTATCATACCCACCATTGCACCCTGTATTCACTGATTAACTGGTCATCCTTAACTTCATGCAGACTCTCCCACTGGTACATTTTCATCTTTAAATCACTTCTTGGTCTGTTGCCTTCATACATCTTCTCCTACATGTCACTTCGTCAGTGCAGCTGCAGCGTGCGCTTCCAGGCCATCATTACATGTAGTGTTCCCTCAGTGCGTACCGAACTAGGAAAAAGGACCTTCTCCTTTGCCGCTCTTGTATCCTGGAATATCTTGCAAAAAAAATCTGACGTTCTTGACGTTAACCTCTCTAAGCGATTTTAAACAGCTGTTAATTTCATGGCAAAAAACAACGCAGACTTTTTTAGTATTTACACTGCTTTATAATGTAGCTTGATTTTAATTTGTTTTGTTTTACAAAGTACTTTTATTCACTTTTCATTTTATATGCATTTTAAGGCTGTTTATTGTTGTCTGTACCTCATCTGTGTTCTTTGTTTAAAACAGGTTTCTGTCCTTGTGACTCTATGAGTCTAACTTGTATAAATAATGGTTGAATGAACTGCACATTAGGCTTCCTTAAGCTGCCCACAATAAAAGACCACAGACATCACATGTTTTGAGGAAGCGTGCGGTTGGCACACTGACTGCAGTAATGTCCACCAGAACTGAATGTTGATTTCTTTACCGTAAGCAGTTTCCAAAGACGTTTCAGAGATTTTGGCAGTACATCCAACCAGCCTCATAACAACAGACCATATATAATCCCACCAGCCCAGGACCTCCACATTCAGCATCTTCACCTCCAAAATCGTCTGAGACCAGCCACCTGGACAAATGCTGCAACAATCAAGTTTGCAGAACCAAAGAATTTCTGCACAAACAGTCAGAAACTGTCTCAGGGAAACTCATCTGTATGCTCATTATCCTCATCAGAGTCTCCAAATTACTGCAATTTGTTGTTATAATTGACGTGAATAGGCAAATGCACACATTCAGTGGCATATGACAGGTTGGAGAGGTGTTCTCTTCACAGATGAACCCTGGTTTTCCATGTACAGGGCAGATGGCAGACTGTGTGAATGGTGTTGAGGGGTGAGCAGTTTGCTGATGTAAACGTTGTGAATCGAGTGGCCATTGGGTGGTGGTGGGGTTATAGTATGGACAGGCATATGTTGTGGACAATGAACACAGGGGCTGGTATGGTTACACATGGTCTGTGATTTTGAGGCCAGTTGGATGTACAGAAGTCCCTCACTACATTGCGGTTTGACTTTAGCGGACTCGCTCTATTGCGGTTTTTTAAAGTAAGATTAGACATGACACATAATTGGCTGATTGATGGTCGAGCCGCACGATCGGCATGGATTTTTTATTTAAAATAAATAATTTAAAATGATTTAGCACCTGCTGCACCAATAAGCAGCCCACATGTATAGAGAGAAGCTCCCTTCTGCAGCATGTCAGGATCTCCGCTCTGCGGTGGAGAAGTGGGCGTGACCGATAGCACTGACAGGTGGCAGAGAGAGCGGAGATCATGACATGCTTTGTTCTTTTAGAGCGTTTAGAGCTTAGAAACATTGTTAAGAATATTGCTAGAGTGTGGGAAGGGTTTAAAACGCCACTCTATCTATCTATCTATCTATCTATCTATCTATCTATCTATCTGTCTATCTGTCTATCTGTCTATCTGTCTATCTGTCTGTCTGTCTGTCTGTCTGTCTGTCTGTCTGTCTGTCTGTCTGTCT